AAATGATGTGTATAGATATCTATAAAATTGAGCTCTGACACTTTCTTTCAAAACAGAAAAGGTCAAAAGTAAAAATAATTTGTTATATTAGGATCATTAAAGCTAACGAGAAAAACTATAAAAACCACGTAATTGTCATTTACTTCAGATTTAACTGGTTAGAGCAGAGAATTAAAGGAAGAAATCACGATGAAATTCAGATGAAAATATGATGATTGATATATATTAATTAACATTAACATAATCAGGTTTGCTCGATCAGAACTCTCTTGTAAATGTTGATTAATCTACAAGTGTCTTCACCCTCAACTGAAAAAACTGTCCTTTTGGTAAGATAGCGGTTACGTAATATTCTCTGAAAAAATTGGTTTCAGCCATGACTGGTACTTTGATCTTTGATTGGTCATTTGTAATATCTGTGGTTGTGGTCGATGGTTAGACCATTTTAATGAAATATCATGAAAACTTTATACTTTGTCAATAGGAAAGTAATTGCATGAATCCTTTTACAAATGATTTGACTGCAAACTTAATAAAAAAAAAAATTTTCTAAACATAAGGATAAATTGACCCATTTTGTTGAATGCTTAAGTAGATATATTTTTTTCAAGGTATGAAAAAAATAATCCCCGTAATTGATCATCGATTACTTGACAAAATGGTGTTGTATTTCAGAGCAATTATTCCCAATACTGAAAATTATTTGTCGATGAAAGTAGAAATGGAAGAACACAGTTTGCTAGCTATTGCCAAGAAAGGTGAAATGTTCAAACAGTAGGTTTAATTGCCATCATTTTACCTGATCATTAGTGAAATATTTCGTTCCAAATTGTTCCAGTCTTTCTCCTGGCAGTTCAAATGGACAACAACGTGTTGGAGAGAGTTATGTTTTGGTCAGCGGATGTAATTTAGTGATGGATCATTACCTCACAGTCTAATTTATGAATACAATTTTTTATTCTATTCTTGAATATAGTTAAAGAAGCAATTTCAGAACTGTTTGAATGAATCAGTTAACTAAATGTTGTTAAATCGCTGTCGACTTGCATGCTTTCTATCTCAAATTTATGTTAATTATTCTTTGTCAATTGCGATTTGGCGAATAAAGTAAGAATGTTTTAATTTGAGAGTAAATATATCGAGACATTGTAAAAAATAAGAACCTTTCAATGTGATATTTGACCCATCCTATAATTATAACTTTGAGCTTGTCCTTAGATCCTTCATTGTGAGAGGATTTAGAAGTATTATGTAATTTAATGAAATAATAAAAACAGCTTCAGCTAAGCATACTGATGCTTGACAATGTTCAAATATAAATAATTATTCTATTTGTCACTTTATGATTTTGTATTTGGTTCACTTTAAAAGAAGAGCATAAAAAGAGCATTTTAAATTAAGATTCAGTTGAGTTGAGATTCCTCAAACCCTTTATATTGGTTGTCTTTCAGCAAACATTCTGAAATAGAAGCAGTATTTTATTACTGGCTTCACTAGTTACTCAACCCAGCCTTTATCTGTACTTCTTTATACCACATACAGTCAAACTGTGATATTATATTCGCCAGAGGAAGAATGATCAGAATGTTGATTTTGTTGTAAACATAAACAAATTTTAATTGATGTTGATTGGTTTGACAACACCTCAAACTGCCATGCCCTTTTTTGGTCATGGAGTTGTAGCCTTGTAGTAATTTAATTACTAAAACAGGGTCTACTCTATATCACAAGTAATTATCAACAGATCGACTGCAGACTTTATAGGAAGGTTCATTACTGTGATAGCTTGTACATGTCTGATGACATTTTTGTACCAACTTTTACGGAGTTACAGTCCTTGATTTTACTACACAAACAGTGTACGCTTGATATTGAAAGTAGTTTTCATTGGATCAACTTCAAGCTTCACAGTAAAAAAATCACCATGATAGTGTGGACAAGTTTTATGACTGCTGTTTTTGGACCTAAATTTGTGCAGTTATGGCCCTTTATTTATCAATTTCTCTGAAACTTTACAGGCTTAATAACCATATCATGATAATGATGATGGCACATTAGGATTTTATAAATTTGAGAAGAGTTATTGCCCTTTGTTTTTTTCCAACACTTTTATCTTGTTCAGAAAGTTCCTCTTTCAGTTTGTAACCAATTTCTTATAAACTTACTGTCCCATTTCTAAGAAAATTAGGGTCTGATTTCTTAGAAACTTAGTGGCCTGAAAACTACAACTTGAGGTGGTGTTTTGATTCAACAATATTTCAAAAAGTTATTATTCTTTTCAGCATGTTTATCTTTTCTGCTTGATTTTTTTTCATTTTTGAGTAGTTTGACTTACAATGTTTAAATTTGTCATTAAAATATATCAACACTGTTTTCCCTCTCAACATTTTGACCTATTCTTAACCATTGCCTTATATTGCTTTGGGATGGGATGGGCCTATATTTTGCTGATCCGTGGTACTCTTGTTCAAGAAAGGAAATAGCAATACAAATATGTACGGTTATTAACTATACCAGAATGACCTTACAAATAAAGCAGATCAGGGTGTAGGTGAAGTGTACTTAAGATGAGTAGTGTTAGTACAAATGTTTTTAACAGACTAGTGGCTTTACCAATGGAAACTAACTTAACCCATTTCTGATTTTCATACTAGACCAAATTTATCAGAAATCTACATCAAAACAGGTCAAGTCCTGACAACAAGTAATGATACAAGTATTTACACTGTAAATATATATGATAACCAAATTGTCAAAGAGCTTAGAATTAAATACATTACAGATTTTTACAACAGTACTGATCAGGGACTCTGCAGATTTGCGTAATGATAAGAAATTTCTTATTAATATTGTGAAATTTCCCTTTCCATACCATTACCATCCTACTTCCTTTAGCTTGCATTGTTAACATTTTCCAGTTTATACACGACACAAACAGCAGTTGACAGAGAAAATAAAAATTTAATAAGTGGGTTCCAGTTTAATTAAGCATCTAAAGTATTTTTCTCAATATAGCAGATAGAGTATATTTACAAAATGAGGATACAAATTCATGAAAACTAAGGAAAGTTTTGTAGACACCATTGTAATCTTGGTGTGAAATAATTCATTTTCTTATGTGATTTGAAGTAAATACATTAATAAGAACACCTCACTTTTTATTTTGAGAATTACTTGACATATATTTAGATGGTGTGTATTGTTTGACGTAATGACGTACTAACCATTTTGGAACAAATGGTTTTATTTTCAATGCTTTCATGTAGACATGGTTAAAGAACAGGAATGTTTTCTTCAAAAAACAAACCAAGATAGAAGTCTTAAGTTATATTATCATCACTGCATAAATTTTCCATGAACAGGATGAGACTGAATAGGATAGGCCATTACGCTAGTAGACAATGTAGACCAACTGCAGTCTCTGAATAGTGTTAGATTTACACATAATATCTTCCTTGTAAAGACTGATTTATGTGGTCAGTTCCTGGAATCTTCTCCTTTTTTTTTCGCTAAGTGAGCTGTAATCATTTTAAATGTAGATTTTTAAGTAGATGGCATTGTTAAATCAACCCAAAAAATCAAAAAATGAAATATGAAACTATATAGAAAGGATTTAAATTAAAAGTACTTTTTAAATCCCTTCATAGTGAGTGTTATTGTTAGTTCAATATATAAGGTATCCAGAATATCTTATCAAAGGGATTCAAAATGTTTTCCTTTCCGATATTCTAATTACATGTCATTTTGTTTTAAACGAACTGGAACTTTTACCGAGCAGTTAATCTTTTTTGGGTCACTGTCTGATTTATGTTCAGATGAAATTTATACTGGTATTGAACGGAGTTTTATCGTTATATTACTTTTTTATTGACAGAGTTAAATCTACATACAGTATTTATGTTAGGTGTGCCTTAGTAGGCAGATCAAGCTGTGGACCAGTTGTTCAATGTCTGATGATCTTAATGTCCGTTCAAATATTGAATCTTTCAGATTTTTAAAAAAAGTATTGTGTTACATTGACAGAAAAAATGAAAATGAATCTCTAATGTTAAAATGTTTAATGAAGAGAAACGTAGTTATTTTATAAGATTTAAGAAATGTTCACTAATTTGAAAATTTGTATAACAGACATGTAAAGGTGATTAGGCTTAGTGGTTTCGAGATTATACAGGGCTCATTTCAGATGTCTATGGACTTTTTGTTTTAACTTGACTGTGTTTTAGTGTCCACCACCTAGCTTTACCTGTGGTAGTATGTGTGTATATCTAACAATGTAACTGTTATCAATCAATGTGTCACTATTAAAAGTTTATGGAGGATTTATTCAATCACGACCGCTGTGCTACCTGTTTTTGTGTGGCCTCGTGTCACTCCCTATACTTTAAGTGAGAGATGTCATTTTTATACTCGGAAGTGATTTTTCAACTAAGTTCTAGATTATCTCCCTTTTTAATATTATGTGTTCAGAAATATTGAATTGTTTACTGACAAAGTGATTTTAAAAATTGTGTTGAGGTTGATGGTCACGGAACTGTGAATACCTGGTATGAATTCGGTCTTCTCGGAATTCATATTTGTAAAAAGTGGGTTGAGGTGATAATTTATTTCATATTTGTGAGACTTCTGAGACTTCTCAAGTGTAGCTTTATTTTATGAATATAAAAATGAAAATGTTACGATAGTGACCTCCATGTTTACGAACAAAATGTGTATGGTTTGATTATCCACGCCTCAGTCTGTTTCTTCTTTTCATCGACCACCTTACACTGCTGAAATTACGTCCATGGGCAAGGAACTTTTTGCTTTGGATAGCATGTGATGGGCCTCCAGCATGTTGTTCAGTGAGGTAGTGGCATCAGCTACTTCAGAGAGACATATCTGAAAATGACCCTGGCTGTCTACAGGGCCATAAACCCAGCAAACAAGTTATTGTTATGAAAATGTCTGTCATTGCCATTAAATTGTCTGCTTATTTTTTACGATGCTTTCATATTTTGCAGCAATGCCTTTGCTTGGGAGTCTCCTGAGGGTTCCAGATTTGGGTAAGTGGATTAACTTGTTTATTTTGTGATTGCTCATGATACTTTAATGGTAAATCTTTCATGTGTACACAAAGTTCTACAAGGTGGTTTCTTAGCAAATTTTACCAGGTACAATTTACTAGCTGAAAGTGCTGGAATGATGCTGGGGACAACCACTCAAAATGTCTCAGCTTTTGCTGCCTGAAAAAATGCTGAAAAAGTTCTGAATTTGTTTCCATGGTTAAACATACGAGGAATAGAAATTCAATGGTATTCTCTGAGATATTATCACCTTTCACTCCGGAGGAAAGAAACATTCTTACTGGTATGATAGAATGTTTTCTGAAAAAGGCACAAGTATATGAGATCCTCTAAGTAGTGAGTATTGTGAAACCCTGAAATATCCCCAGTCTGTAATAGTCAAAACCATCTTTGCCATTCTGTTTGTGAAATCTTGAAATTAGCATTAGTTCAGTTGATACACTACCACAGGTCATAAGGTCAACTTTGTTTACACAAGAAGCAGACTATGTAAAAACTTCTGATGTCTTTTTATTGTAACTCTGAATAAATATAAGAAAATGTTATATTTATTTAGTTCTTGGATAAATAAAGTAGTTTGGTCCATCTTTTCTTAATCAAGGTATAGGAATGTTGAAATCCATACATGCCATTTTCTAGCTTTAACAATATTGTATGGCTATAACACAAATATGTTTAAAACGCTTTCAAATTAATGACATATATCATCTTCCATTTGATTGGTCCATTTAAAACACTGATAGTGAGAGTACATGCAAAGGTTTTCAAACTGAATTGGAACATGACTTTTTAGATAAATTTTTATTTCTTATTGGAAATTTTGAAATATGCGTTTGATGAAATTATGTTAATCATTTATGAAAATGTGTTGATGTGGAAATCCTAAACCTCAGACGCAAATTCAAAGTAAGCAAAATCTGAAGGCACTGAGATAGTGTTTGACTGAATTCTACAGAACACCAATTGATATGGATGGGCTTATTACTGCACATGGACTTATTGCTTATAATCTAATCAACTGACGGTGTTGCTCAGTCGTCGAGGAGAAGGGAATAATATGTTGTATGTGGTGTTTGTATTGTAAATTTCTTGGATCGTATGAACATAATTTAATTCTCTCATAATTGGTTTGTATACAACTGTGTATTTACTATGAATAACACCATATAAAGATGAACAAAATTAATGCTATATGCCACGAGGCTTAATTTATGCAAAGCATAATGGGTTAGTTAATTTTTATGATAGTCTTACCGAGTGAACAGTCCAGTCTGGAGAGCAGTGAATTAGATAGTGAATGTTACTTTCTCAAAATTATTCATGTTCTACTGAAGGATTCTTATCAGGATATTGGAAAAAAGTGCTTGATTACATAAATTTTTTTTTCATAAATTACATTTTGAAAAAGCATGTCTTGAAAATCTGTAAATATTCCATCCAGTATTATGATTACAGGACTGAAATTGTGTAACCAAGCATTGCTGCAAAGGTATCTGGTATCTTTGGATGTGTTTGCCAATTGGCTTGTTTTAGAAAGAAAAAAACATGTTTCAATGTTTCAAGTGCAAAATGAGAAAAAGTGATTTGAAGGACATTTATGAAAACCTGTGTATTGTGTTGTGATTGATTACAGTAAGGTTATGATCTGTTTGCTATGGGTGACACTTCATGTGATTCTACACCCCGAGGTGTAGAGGAGAAACATGGCAGGTTGGCTGATAAGGTCACACCTTTGTGAAGTGAAAAATTAAATGCTTTGATGAGCCATAGAGATTGGACTTCCTGATGACTGGAAATTTGTGTGATGCTGACCCATCCATCAACCTATGGTTAGTCTCAAGTGTCCACAACCTGTGATAGAGGTCGTCTGTTTATCTGACAGAATACTCGGTGTTAATGTCAGAAATAGTAATACATTGCATTCTTCCAGCTAGCCCCTTCCTTACGCCTTTGATCTATACGCTGCTGTCCGATGAATATTGATTTAAAACCATCATAATTATCGTTTTATCATTACCTGTCACTATCTTGTCAGCATTCAAACAAACGCTACTTACAAACGATCACTTAAGAAATGGATTTGTACAATGTGACATGTACTTTTAAAACGAGAATACATTATACTTACCAGAGCGTGTGATTTTTACATCATTTTTTTTAACTGGTGTAATTAAAAACAGAAGGAAGACCATTGGTATTATTTGATACAATTTATGTCCTCCTTTCTATGCTAATGGATATTTCCATATATTTCATCTCCATCTGTTTTAAGACAAATTGACCCATCAATCAGTTCTCAAATAGTCCACCCCATGTTTTGTGTGTTATTTGGCCCTATTAGTGGGGCTAAGAAGGTGTCGACATCACCTGCCCTTTATCAGACAGCCCTATCGCGCCTCTGTTGACAGTAGATATCCCATTATCTTATGGAGATGATTCAAATTTTACAATGCTGTACTGGAAATTTCATATTCAGTGTCATTGAATTTAATCTCTTCTCACAAAACACGTTTTTTTTTATTAAACTGTCTCAAGTTTTACAATGAAAACTTGTCATTCTTTCAGATTTGAAGTTCTTTTTACACAACCATCTGATAGACTTTTATCAACTTTGATATCTTGCCATTATGAATTAAAATGAAATTTAAACCTCTATTTTCATATTGTTACATTAATTCAGATGATAAATTAGATGTTTCTTCAAGGGTTATATCTAATGATTTTTTTTTTAAAATCTAGACACAATTAAAATTTTAAAATGGACTTAAACTGAAAGTTGATTTTATGGAAAATATTCTAAAAAACGAACATCTGTTATAGAATTTTGCATTATTTCTACTAAGATTTAATAGTTCATGGTTTGACAATTCAGTTTTTTCTTCCAGATTTTAAAATGGCAGGTGTTTTCCTGGGGTTTCTTGACTTCAGCAAACGAAATGTATGAGCTCTTTGTGAAAGCGATCTCATTGGTTATATTTCTGTGTCATAACTGATAAAAATGTTCAAACATCTTGAATTATAATGAAAGTTACATTCTGTCACTTTGTTATTCAAAAGTTTGCACAACACGACATTTTTGAAAAATGTGAAATAAGTAAATAAAATAAATAAATGAAAAAAGTAAAAAAAAAAATAAAAAAATAAATAAGATAGTGATCCATCATCACTTTTAGAACACTTGATAAGATTTTCGTTTGCATTCAAGTCTTATAGAAATTTTCTACTTTTTAATATTAAAATTCATGTTTATTTGTTCTGTTTTTCTGTTTTAAAAATTCTCACATAATTTAGATAAGAGAGTTTATTTTGTATGAAGCTGAGCTTGTTAGTTTTAATCTTTATTGCAGAGTTTTTAAGAGAAAGTACATTTACAATATTTTGAAAAATTGTCAAGTCATATGGGTAATGAATGCTTTCCTGCTATAAAACCATGCAGCCTATAATGTTTACGCGATTTTCAATCCCGTGATGTAGGATAAATTGCCCTGTATCATTTAGATTTAACTTGACTTTCATAACTAAGCTGAGATAGACTGTGAAACAAAGTGATTGTGTCAATTTCAATGTGAAATAAACATCACTAAATTAGAGTGATTACAACAACAATTACTCTACTTTCACTTCTCATTAATATATTTATCATTTTTCAACTTGATAGATATACAAATGCTAATTTTTATTCTGAATGATGAATGAAATAAAAAGGAAAAATTATGTTGTTTCACAAGCAGCAAATTTTGCCTGTAAACTTGATCAATCTATCTAAGGTTGTAAAGATAATTCATGGAGAAAAAAAAAATATTCCAGTGTTAAGATGTGAAATCAAGAATATTTTTTGTTTGTTTATGTGAAATGTTTTTTAGTGCTAAATGTCTTTAAACAATCATTAACTATCTGACTGCTGACTGTAAATTCCGTAATTAACATATCCCATAAAACTATACTCCCTGCATAGTGTTTATCAACTTTGTCATTTATAACAGAATTCTTGACACAAAGATTAATACAGCTGTAAAAATCCATTATTTCATGTATTATGATAACAGATACATACTTCAAATTATAAAAAAAAATATAAAAAAAGGGAAAAATGGATAGGTTTTACTTTGCAGTCATTTGACAGTGATTTGTATAATAAAAACTCCAGGGTCACGGTGGCTGATTGGTTAAGGTGTCTGACTGTCATTGTCACCAGGTCCCTACCCCTAGGTCGTGGGTTCAAGGTTTACAGACATCCACATACTGGTTCTCTGGGAACTCTGACTTTTCTCCACCACCCAAACCTTGCAGACCATCAATAACCTTTCTTAATAGAATGATTAAAGGCGTCTATCTTCACTCCATACATTGGGTAAAAATCTGAATTTTGATGGTTAATTACGCTCAAAAAAAAAAAAAAAAAAATTTTTGTTTCTTGATGGTACACATGTACAAGTTAAATGACCCTGATGGTACACATGTACAAGTTAAATGACCCTGATGGTACACATGTACAAATTAAATGACCCTGATGGTACACATGTACAAGATAGATGACCCTGATGGTACACATGTACAAGTTAGATGACCCCGATGATACACATATACAGGTTAGATGACCCTGATGGTACACATGTACAAGTTAGATGACCCTGATGGTACACATGTACAAGTAAGATGACCCTGATGGTACACATGTACAAGTTAAATGACCCTGATGGTACACATGTACAAGTTAGATGACCCTGATGGTACACATGTACAAGTTAGATGACCCTGATGGTACACATGTAAAGGTTAAATGACCCCGATGGTACACATGTACAGGTTAGATGACCCCGATGGTACACATGTACAGGTTAGATGACCCTGATGGTACACATGTACAAGTTAGATGACCCTGATGGTACACATGTACAAGTAAGATGACCCTGATGGTACACATGTACAGGTTAGATGACCCCGATGGTACACATGTACAAGTTAGATGACCCTGATGG